ATAATTGCAAATTCTCTTATGAATCGTACACTTGCGACTTAGAAAGAATTCAAGTTAAATTGATTTAATAATATACATATACACTGTCGCACTCAAGACCATGATCAAAATAGTAAACCTTAAATATTTTAGTGCATCAAAGTGTTTATTGTAATAGTATACTGATAATAATAATAATAATATACTTCATCATCATCATCATCACAGCCCTTCACAAGTCCACTGCTGAACATAGGCCTCCCCCAAGTAATGCCACAAAGCACGGTCCTGAGCCACCTGCATACATCGACTTCCTGCATATCTTACCAGGTCGTCACTCCATCTAGTGGGGGATCGCCCTACACTACGCCTACCGGTACGAGGCTGCCACTCGAGAACCTTTCTTCCCCTTCGGTTATCGGTTCTTCGAGCTATATGGCCGGCCCATTGCCACTTCAGCTTACTAATCCGTTGGGCTATGTCGGTCACTCTGGTTTTACTGCCGATATCCTCATTTCTGAGTCTATCACGCAGAGAAACTCCGAGCATAGCCCTCTCCATAGCTCGCTGAGCGACCTTGAGCGTCCTCATACGGCCAGCAGTGAAGGACCACGTCTCAGATCCGTAAGTCATCACTGGCAACACGCACTGGTTGTACAATCTAGTTTTTAGAAATTGAGGTATACCTGACGAGAAGATATGTCGTAATTTCCCGAACGCTGCCCAGCCGTGTTGAATCAGTCGATTGACCTCTCAGTCGAAGTTGGACTTACCTAGTCGGACTATATGTCCCAGGTAAACGTACTTGTTAACAACCTCTAGCATAGTGCTCCCAACAACTACCGGCATTGTAATATACTTAACGATAATTAAAATAAATAAAATATGCAATATAACTGAATGAAAGTCAAATAGTAATGCTAAAATGTTCAAATAGAATTCATCACGCTTCTTTAAGTAATTGAATATAGTGGTGGTTTAGAGTAGGAAGGGTTAAAGTCGCGACAGCCCAGAGGCTGTACCTACCAAATTGTTAACTGATATTAAAATATAATTTCTTATGTTGCTAGTCTTCGTCATGTGTCCAAACTATTTTTTTATCAAACTTACGTTGTTAAACGCTAGCCCTTCACATAGCCATCGGTAAAGTAACTTACTTAATTTATACGACAATCACACTTATCGACACTGTTTTTAATTGGGTGTCGATAATTGGTTAGCCTATATTATAAATAGTAACCGGATGACCATTATTTAAACATATTAATGAAAATTACATGAATAATATTTTTTGATCTTATTGACATAATAGAAAAAACTGAACCGGTTATTTGAATAAAAAATCATGAGTGCAATTAGTTTAATTAAAATTTTCGTATTTTTAAAAAATACTAAAAAAAGGGGCTCGAAATAATAGATTTTCTCACAAAAGAAGGGAACTTGAAAAAAAAGGAAAATATTCGGACCGAAGCGGGACGCGAACCAAGGCATTACGATTTCGCGACCGCTCGATATCCACTTGAGCTATTACGATGATTAACACAGTCTCAAAATTTACCTTCTTATATTGTAGCAGTTTTTCATTTCCTGAAAACACGGACAAAAAGACATTTTCTAAAAATAAATCCTAGCTAGATCGCGATTTATTTCCCCCGAAACTCCCTGGACACTAAATTTTATGAAAATCGTTGGAGCCGTTTCCGAGATTCCGATTATCTCGTTTAAAGGTATAGGATTCTTTGATGACATCCAAATAGGACTACACGCCTCATCAAATGGGGCTGACAATGAAGGTCGTACGTAAAGAAGAAAAAGATAACTTAAATATAAATTTTAAAAACGTTCGAAACAAAAAAAGCTGATGAACTTCAAACGGCTGAACCAATTATGACAAAACGTGCCTAAGAACCATTGCTAGAAAACTTGCTTTTAAATAAAAGAAATCGTACAGCCGGACAAACACACAGACAAATAGAGAGGCACACACACACAGCGTTGTTTATAATTGGGTATCGATAATTGGTTGGCCTATATTATAAATATTCTTTGATGACATCCAAATAGGACTACACGTCTCATCAAATGGGACTGACAATGAAGGTCGTACGTAAAGAAGAAAAAGATAACTTAAATATAAATCTTAAAAACGTTCGAAACAAAAAAAGCTGATGAACTCCAAACGGCTGAACCAATTATGACAAAACGTGCCTAAGAATCATTGCTAGAAAACTTGCTTTTAAATAAAAGAAATCGTACAGCCGGACAGACACACAGACAAATAGAGAGGCACACACACACACAGCGTTGTTTATAATTGGGTATCGATAATTGGTTAGCCTATATTATAAATATTCTTTGATGACATCCAAATAGGACTACAAGCCTCATCAAATGGGGCTGACAATGAAGGTCGTACGTAAAGAAGAAAAAGATAACTTAAATATAAATTTTAAAAACGTTCGAAACAAAAAAAGCTGATGAACATCAAACGGCTGAACCAATTATGACAAAACGTGCCTAAGAACCATTGCTAGAAAACTTGCTTTTAAATAAAAGAAATCGTACAGCCGGACAGACACACAGACAAATAGAGAGGCACACACACACAGCGTTGTTTATAATTGGGTATCGATAATTGGTTAGCCTATATTATAAATATTCTTTGATGACATCCAAATAGGACTACACGTCTCATCAAATGGGACTGACAATGAAGGTCGTACGTAAAGAAGAAAAAGATAACTTAAATATAAATCTTAAAAACGTTCGAAACAAAAAAAGCCGATGAACTCCAAACGGCTGAACCAATTATGACAAAACGTGCCTAAGAATCATTGCTAGAAAACTTGCTTTTAAATAAAAGAAATCGTACAGCCGGACAGACACACAGACAAATAGAGAGGCACACACACACAGCGTTGTTTATAATTGGGTATCGATAATTGGTTAGCCTATATTATAAATATTCTTTGATGACATCCAAATAGGACTACACGTCTCATCAAATGGGACTGACAATGAAGGTCGTACGTAAAGAAGAAAAAGATAACTTAAATATAAATCTTAAAAACGTTCGAAACAAAAAAAGCTGATGAACTTCAAACGGCTGAACCAATTATGACAAAACGTGCCTAAGAATCATTGCTAGAAAACTTGCTTTTAAATAAAAGAAATCGTACAGCCGGACAGACACACAGACAAATAGAGAGGCACACACACAGCGTTGTTTAAAATTGGGTATCGATAATTGGTTAGCCTATATTATAAATATTCTTTGATGACATCCAAATAGGACTACACGTCTCATCAAATGGGACTGACAATGAAGGTCGTACGTAAAGAAGAAAAAGATAACTTAAATATAAATCTTAAAAACGTTCGAAACAAAAAAAGCTGATGAACTTCAAACGGCTGAACCAATTATGACAAAACGTGCCTAAGAATCATTGCTAGAAAACTTGCTTTTAAATAAAAGAAGGCGTACAGCCGGACACAGACAAACGGAGAGCCACACACATAGCGGTCAAACTTATAACAACCCTCCTTTACGTCTCGGGTTAAAAACTGTGACTGCTGCAAGAAAATACCAAGTACCAACCAACACTCTATAACGTCAAAGTGTCTTATGCCTCCAGCTGTTTGTAGTGCTAACTAAAACCGAAAGGTAAAAGATATTTTAGCTAGATGAACACAAAATAAAATATTACAGCGATATTACCGGATATCCCTACGAGTATGAATTACGAAAAATTTATTAACAAACAGAGATTAATCAATAATAGAAAAACACACATAATGTGTTAGATGAGGAACCTAAAACTGATAAACATTTACTGTCTTACTACAAAAAAGTTAGACATCTGTTCAACACGTGTTTATCAAATGAGTTACTACAAAAGAATGTTTAACGGTGGTTTATGGATAGGCACGGCTTAGACGTTGTTTAAATTTAAACAGCCCGAAACCCTTGTTTAATAGTCTCTAACCTATCTTTTCCGTCAGTTCAGTATTTTTATTTAACATGGATATAATTGTTTTCTTATATTTACGCAAACACTATACATTGATTAAAACTACTTTTACGGATTTTATCGCGTTTTATTTATATTAATTTTAATACCCGACGTTTCGGGTGCTTTCCAGCACCCATGGTCACGGGGGACTGAGGTGACTGACGTTCCCGATGTCAAAGTTAACCCGGAGTACCTTCAGCTTTTTAATTATTGTCTTTGGTCCGATCTACGCAGAATGAACTAACTGTATTTTGAAGTCTTGCAGTGGTATGCTTGGGTTTAGTTTTAATTTTATTAATTATAGTATCCCAAGCAGGTGGTAGTACCCAGCCTCCTTCTCTATTGAAATTAGGATGTTTTTTAATTTCAATAGCCTCACGTATCATCCTTGGTAGGAATCGATGTTCTTTCGCGAGGATTTGTGGTCTATCAAATCTGATGTAATGGTTGGGGCCATCTAGAATATGATCGCAAACTGCAGACTTCCCGGAACGTTGAACTTCCCGGAAGTCTGCAGTTTGCGTGCTGGAAAGCATCCGAAATGTCGGGTATTATAATTAATATAAATAAAACGCGATAAAATCCGTAAAAGTAGTTTTAATCAACGGATATACTTGATTTTGTTGATTGCTTCTACGAAGACGGCATGGGTAACTATGCGGAAATGTTCCGAGAAAGTAATACGGTTCGTGTGAGGGTTAATCCGTTTGAAAAATATGACGACACCAAGTTTAAGAAAAAATATAGGTTCAGCAAACTTTTTACTAGAAAAATATTAGATCTTGTGAAAGACGATATACCGAGTGATTCTCGTGGTAACACAATAGATCCAGCAGTGCAAGTGGCTTGTGCATTCGGTACTGGGCTCGTCATCAAGTAAGTTCGATTCATACCAAATTAAACTATGTTTACGTGTGGCGTCGGTAGAGAAGAATAGCTTCACCCATCACCCTGTGTGTTTACCTATTATTTGCAATTTTATTTCAGATTCAAGATGACAGTGGAGATATGCATGGGATTTCTCAGCAATCCGTCAGCAAAATCGCTCTTAATGTTGGGAAAGCATTAGCTAAAAAAGCTCATTTATTCATCAACATGCCCACTACACTAGAAGATCAAGAGGAAACCATCAGAGGATTTAGAAGTATATGTAACTTCCCCTCGGTGATAGGGGCTATAGAATGCACGCATATACGTGTCAAAAGGGTAGGTGGCGATATAAGTGAAGCCTATGTGAACAGAAAGGGTTACTATTCTATCAACCTGCAAGTTGTCTGTGATTCAAACTTGAAAATAAGAGACATAGTTGCACGTTGGAGAGGAAGTGCTCACGACTCTTGTGTTTTCAACGAAAGCACAATAAAAGAACGCTTTGAACTTGGTGATTTTCATGGAAGATTACTTGGAGATAGTGGATATGCACGTACTGCATATCTCTTTACACCTTTGCTTAATCCTAGTAATGACACAGAGGAAGCTTACAACAGAGCTCACATTAAAACAGGGAATACAGTTTAGAACCTATAAAGTACTTGTGTCAATTACCGACTAATTTTAAAAAGTATCACAAAAGCTACATAGTGATAAATATTACATGTAAAATCGAATAACTTTTATCTATTTCTATAGTGACGTTATTTGGTGATTGTCGATTACTAGTTAGTGGGGATCTAGTATCGATTACTAATAGTTTCAGTTTGTCTTTGCTGTCTAGTACTGTATGATTTCTAAATTGATGAGCTCTGCAACGTTTATATCTGATATACTTGAGATTTATTAATTACTGTTGTTTAGTATGAGAAAATAAAAAAATCTACTTGAAATCAAACAACTTCCTTTATATGTAGATGATCGGTACAACCACTTTTTTGATACGGTTTTATGATATGGTTTTACAATCATATAGCGGAAATTAAGATATTTTTATGTGTGACGATTTCCATAGTCACCTAATATCACGGGAAGAAATAAAAATAAAATTCGTAACCTACGCAGGTTGTCTGTTGAAGATACTTTACAATAAACACTTCAAGTAAGTACAGAATACCTTACCGTTGTTCACTTAATAGCGTGAAACACTTAAGTTCGAGAGTTCTTACCATCTAGGATATTAAAATTTTATGGGAGACATTTGTATTTAAGTAAATGCTACATTATATGTGTCATAATATAGTAGGAGTAGAATAGAAGTACTAAATTTTAATATGGCTAAAAGTTTTATTAATAATTTTTTAATAATTAAGCATTAATTAGCTAAGCCACAATCATTTAGGAGAGGCCTACGTTCAGCACTGATGACGATAATGAAGTATAAAAAATATATATATATATATATATATATATATATATTATTGGAATCATAAGTCATAACGCAAAATACTTGAATTTAAATGTGTTTCATTTGTGTATTTATGGTGTTTAAGTAAAGTCTAAACTATCAGTCATAAATAATCAGAATACTATTTCTGTTAAGAAATTGAGTATTATTTATCAATAATTGTTATTATTTGATACTTATTGATTGGTGTTAAGTTCGTCGTAAGCTTCATACTGCTGTGTTTCGTATTGTGAGTGTAGGGAACCAGAGAACCTTTTTACTAGAAACGAGGTATTCCACCTTAGTCCTCAGGGGTGACAACGCATCTGCATTTTGATTGTTATTTGAGGATAAATGTGGATGTTTATGGACCACAGCATCCACTTACCATCAGGTCGACTGTGTATATCATCTTAATCTTTAAAAAAATTATTTAAATAAAAAATACCTGTGTAACGCATTCACGTTTTATTAAATTATGTGTAGTGTATTTAACGGGGGAATACATGGCTTAGCTCCGCTATGTATTATCATAGGAGGTGGGATATTTACCAACTGCCACGTTTGGCAGATGGATTAGCAAATGCAGTTTTTTACTTACTTACTAAGTAGTACTTAAGTTGTTATCAGGCAGATGCTGCTGTCCTATCTCTGTTTCCTTCTGTCGCCCATAACGACACGACGATAATGAATAGTAAAAATTGCAAAAATGATTTTAGAAGGTATAAATAGAAATAATAAAGTAAGTTCATTTTTTAAGCACACTATATTTATGCTTTTTCTGTTTTTTCCCCCTAATATCACAACTCTCTCGTTAAACTACACTTAATTCAGTAAAACTTGAGAGGGTTACACAGGCATTTTTTTAATTTAAATCAGTTTAGCAATACTATCAATAAATAAACTTTTTAGTATAGCTTTCTCTACACGTATATTATAGTCATCATTATCATCATTGTCATAACAGCCCCTCATAAATCTACTGCTGAAGAGATAGTGGGTTAGGTGGCTTCTGAGTCACCAGTATTATGAAGAAAGAATGAGTTAGTTATATATTAGAACCGCGTAGACTTATTGCGCTCGTTTTTTTGACACCTGGTAACATATTTTATAAAGTTTAAATGTGTTGGGAGAAATATGTTTAAATCGACTTGTAAATTTCTTATCGACTCTCACATGGACGTCCGCTGTTGAAACTTGTTGAAGTTATAGCGTAGCTTTCTCGAGTTTTAAAAAGTGCTTACTTATTTTTAACTTTGCTGGGAACTCAAAAATGGCTCCTAGGTATAAATAGGACTCTCATCTATCAATGTCTAAATAATTTATGACAGGATTTACTAATGTTTACACATTTATATATAAAACTGAAGGGATCACCGAATTTACAGTCAATCTGTATTGTTTTGTCAATTCATGATGGTAGCAACCGAAACCCATGAACATCTGCAGCCAACTACTGTTTGGTGCCAGAAACAGCTAAAAGGGTAATATATCCCGAGGAAGATAAACAAAAGTAAATTGACTGCTTTAAACTAGCGGCATTAACAGCGGATACAAGTTTCAAACGGTCCAACAGGCAAAATCTGTTCTTTTAATTAACAAAGAAACTAACATAAACCCGTAAATAATATTCATGGACTTATAATACAGTACTTAGACTAGACTTGAAAGACGTTGCAAGTACTTTACACCACTTATGTTCACTGAGGTGTTCCCAATATCATAATTAATCACGGCTACGTTCAGTTTAAAATTATTCATTCATAATCCCATCTACGCAGCATAAGCTTATAGTATTTTGAAACGTTGCATTTGCGGTCAGAATCTAATAATATTAATTATATGATCTTCACTAGTTTCATTTAGAGAGGTGTGTATTTAAAAATACACACCTCTCGGGAGCAACTAGTTAATCATATAGCCAATACGTTTTAAAAGTAATGACAGTGAAATCTTTCAAATGGCCAGTGATGTCAGTGATCAGATGTCAGATTCACGTATCATACTACAGACAATACTGAATATACAACGTCGTCTTTGGATTTTTAGGAACCCTGAATCAGAATATGTGCAGGAATATCATAGTGCTCAGCTGAATGGGATCGACAGTTCGCATCTTTGGATTATTGATATTTTTTTATTAGTAAACTCAACAGCATTTTTAACAAACATACTTAAATATATATTGGCACAATAACAGAGAATCACAATCAATAACAGAGTTTCACAACATGCTGAATAACACTTACGAAGCAGTAAAATTTGTAACTCAGTATAATTTAAATAAAAATATCTGTTATTCTCGCTAAAACTCGAGGCTGGCTTGACCGATTCTGATGAAATTTTGTATGTCCCTGGATGGTTTATATTCATAATTGGTCCCGGTAGGTGGCGCTGTTGTTGAGGTCCAGAAATCACCCGTGAAGCTGGGGCGGATCGGTAGTATATAAATATTTATTCTGTACCGACAAAATAGCCATAGAAAATTATTTTATTTTAATAAAGTAATTTTCCTAAAACGTTTTTTTTACAATCTTGCCATTTTATGGACAGTTTGAATTGTAATATTAGCCTATTAAAGCGTTATCTTATACGACAAACATGCAAGATCTGGATAATATAGTGAATGAAGAAAGCTCTTTTCGCTATGATAATCGTCGTCAACTGTGCTTCACTCAGTTCATGAAGTCTAGCTTTTTTATTTTACCGATTAGCCGCAAATTTGTTTTGACACATATGAAAAGCCGACATAAACTGTGCCGTAGTTTGAGAGGGCTGCGTTTCTATCGCCGTCAGTTCTCCGTTATCAAATTTATACTCCGGGTGGCCACAAGGTCCATCCATGTATGGGCAAAATTTCTAGAATGAAAGCAGATGAGTTATTGACATTGTGTGCCGTTCGATACGCTTCGTTTCCACGTCGGAGCTTATATTCCAAATTAAACTTTTTTATAATTCGTAGTTATTAAAAATATGAATAATCAATATTGAAAAGGTTATGTTATGTTTGTGTTGTGCATTGAGTATAAAATTTATTTGAAATTAGAATTGTAAATAAAACCGTAGCTATTACAATTTAAAGTAGAACAGTTTTAACTAAATAAAGAAATAATGGGTATGTAAACACATAGTTTTAAAAAGAAAATGTATAATTTAGTAGTGGTCTTATAATATGTTAATGTGCATCGTCTTGTTTTGGACATGATATACGTTATCATGTCTTTATTCAAAAAAGTTTTAAAAGAGCTTTGCCTGACAAAATAAATATAAAACGTTAACATTTGGACTTAAAAATTTTAAATTACAAAAATTTAATAACAAATTTTCAATTTATAGAGTATATATCTCCTATTTCTTTTATTATACATTTTAAAACTAATTCAAATAATACCTTTTCGCCCTTTATTCCCAGTCGTTTGTAAATTTATGTAATGATTTTTTGTCGCATACTTGTGTCGGTGCGGAGGGCTAAATGCTCCCTTGTTTTATTCAATTTTAATTATAATAAGGGATCAAATCATTTAGCCCTCAGCACCTTTCATCTAAGCCTTTATAGTAAACAGATAGCAAGTACGAAGTTATAATAGCTTTCTGGAACAGTAAAATTCCATTTAAAACATAAAAGATACATTGAAACAATACAATATTCAACTAGGTAAAGTTAAAAACATATATACATTTATGTATATCTCCAAAAATATTAGCAGAGTCGGTGCTATAAATAAGTTTAGTGCTGCCATTGCTGCAACTGAAGTATCTGCTGGACATCAACTCCTTTTATGGTTTAATTGTTGTTCTTTTATGGCGTATTAAAACTATGCGAGCTATGTCTGTGTTATAAATAAGTTTACTGTCGCCATCGCTACCACTAAAATAAACGCTAGACATTAACTACTTTTATGGTTTAAAGTTCAGGCGCCTAGCAATCATTTTGTTGGCAAAAACTATTTTATAACGGTTTCGAGCAAACACGTATCCTAAACGCAATGTTCAGTCGGAACATGTTTACGCGGAAAAGCAAAAATGAACAGCCCACGAATCATGTTAGTAAAAACCAAAGCAAATACTGTCGTGTTGGTACTGTTACGAGCTTGAGGTTCGTGACAATAAAAATTGCCGATAAAATTACCTAAATTAACACTTTAATTTACTTTACACAAATTAAAACTAAAAACACTAATAATTAAACACACTAATTCAC